TATCTATGTCCTTTGGTTTTAGATGTGTGTCATTAGCAGCATATAGACTTTTACGCTATTATCTAGTCTTCAAATCTTTTCCTTTAAAAGAATCATTCATCATATTTACCTCTAATATAATAACTAATCTTTTTGGGCTCAAGCCCCTCATCCTAGTTGGTGTTTTCTCTGTCTTCTGCCTGTTCTGTTTATGTTTCTCTCTTTCTTTCCTTTCCTTTGGGAAATTTTTTTTAACCCCTTCTACTAGATCTCTTTCTTCCTGATCTATATATTATTGTTGTGAATTTTAATTCAGTATTTTAACCATAAGACATTATTTATTATAGTTTTACAAATGATTGTTTACTTTGATCAATGTTTCTCAAATTTAGATCGGTGATTTTCAGTATTGCCTCCTAGAAGACATTTGGCAATGTCTAGTGACATTATTGGTTGTCACAACTGGGGATGGAGAACAAGGTGATACTCGTATCTAGTGGGTAGAGGACAAGGGTACAGCTAAACATCTTGCAATAAGCAAGACAGCTCCTTTCGGTTTTTGTTGGTCTCATCTCTCTCTCTCTCTCTCCCGCCCCCCCTCTTTCTCTTTCCTTCTTTCTCTTTCTCTTTCTCTCTCTCCAGGCTTATTTTTATCTTTATTCTTGCAATTTATTTTTCAAAGTATGATTTCTAGATTGGAAGTTTTCTTTGGGTTATATTGTGGCTGTTGACAAATAAGCTGGCAGTCTAATAGTTAACTTTTTTGAAAGAAACTTACCCTTTTATCTCTGGCTGTTATGAAGATCTTCCTTTTGGTATTTGATGTTTTATTGTTCACTATTAATTTTTTTAATCATTTACCCTGCTCAGAGTTTACTGGGCTTTTGAATCTGTAGACAAGTATATTTCATCACTTCTGGAAAATTCTCAACTGTTATCCCTTCAAATTTTGCCATTGTTTCATCCTCTCCCTACTCTTTTCTTTTTTTCCCCGAAAGAGCGTCTTGCTCTGTCCCTGGGACTACAGTACAGTGGCATCTTCATAGCTTTCTGCAACCTCAAATTACTGTGCTCAAGTGATACTCCTGCCCCAGCCTCCCAAGTAGCTGGTACTACAGGCGCACACCACCATGCCTGGCTAATTTTTCTAATTTTGGTAGAGATAGAGTATTGTTCTTGCTCAGGCTGGTCTTGAACTCATGACATCAAGCCATCCTCCTGCCTCTCAGCTTCCTGAAGTTCTAGAATTACAAGCATGAGCCACCACACTGCCACCGTGGTTGGCCTCTACTCTTCCTGAACACCGATTAAACATGTTGGAACTTATTAATAACCTCCAAATCTCTCTTTTATTATATCTCCTATCTTTTCTGCTCCATTTGCACCATTTTGGATGATTTCCTAGATCCTAGATTACTAACTATCTCTTCAGTTGTGCTATTCTGATGTTCAACCAAACCATTGAGATTTTACTGTTGGTTATTTAATTTTTCATATTCAGAAATTCAATTTGGTTTTCTTCTAAATTTGCTATGTTTCATTTTATATTTCTTGTTTCTTTCAGATTTTAAAGCTAGTTTTTTATTTCTTTAAATGACCAAGAATAGCTATTTTTTGTTATCTGTTGTCACTTTATTTGAAATATGTAGATCTGTTCCTCCTTTGCCTGCTATTTCTTGCTCATGATGCTTTGTTTTATTATGTATTCAATTGTTTTAGAAGGATACATGCATTAATAACAAAGAACATTTATAGGACTCTTTAAGGGCTAGATTAAGTTGCCTTTCTCAAGAGGATATGGCTTTGTTTCTGGGTACACTTTCAGTTTTAGAATTCTTCAATTTAAGTTCATAGTTTGAGGATACTGGGAATATTTATGCCAGGCTGAAATCCAAATCCACAGAGACTGTTTTCACCTTTCTTTATCTCTTATGTTCACATATCCTTGGTGGACCAAGGACCTTAACTTTCCCCCATCTTTCTTCAAAGCCACCAAATGTGAAGCCCAAATATGTTTAGACTGGTTGATATCCTTGGGGTAAAAGTGGATTTATTTCTATGTGCTTGCACACAGATCTGGATTCCTGCTGTCCCTACAATTTGTGTCCCAATAGTTCCTCATTGGCTTATACCTTTAGAGACATTTAAAAAATATATGTGTTCTGCATTGTTAATGGCTTTGCAAGAGTATGTGTTCAAATAACTAGCCAATATTAAGGTAACTTTTAAAAACATGAGATCTTATGTGTAGTGCTCAGTATCTATAGCTTGTCTGTGATTATCAATTTCTGACATTTTTGACATAAAGTTATTTATTGTTGGATGTACTAAGATGTTAGGAGTCTAATGGATAATATTTATTATGGCTTGGAGTTATTATGAGGGTTAAATGGCAAAATGAGTAAATTGCTATTCATATTATTAATATGTTGGCACAGCTAAAAATTTGGTTTCTTACATTAATGATAAATATTAACAATTTCAGTTAGTTTTTGATATAATAATAATAATGACAGCAGTGTTTACCATATCCCTGGCACTTGTATTATCTAATTTAATCTGTAAAGTGATCTATCTCTTAAATAGAAAAAAAATTGAAGCACAGGAAAGTTTAATTACTGAAACTTACAGAGCCAGTAGGTGATGAAGACAGGTTTAGCACTCAATATTATGACTCTTGAGCCTGTGTTCTTAATTATATAAAACAACTTATTTCTATGTGTTGGTGTCTATGGAAGGAATTTTATTAACATATGGGAAGCTGGTAGACCCTACAGCTAATACCAGTAACTTTTGACATTCCTAAAAATATCCAAGGAATGTAAATTCATATTTTCACTTTGTCCTAGAAAAGTCCTACGGGACAAAAATGGATTACCCTCTTCAAAAATTAATTTTAAGTCCTAAAAACCTTAATGTTTTGTCCATAATCAACAAAATATATAGTAATATCACTAAAATAAAATAAAATTAAATCTTACAATTTCAATAGTTTAAATTATTGCTAATATAGATTTATGTTTTATGATTCATTAGCAGAGATCTTTTTATAAATGATTGTGATTTACATGAGAACATTGAAAACCTCAAATAAACCTTTGCAAAGAAACTCTTATCAGGCAAAATTAAACTTCACCACATAAAAAGAGAACTATCTGAGTCATCAGTTCAATAAAATGGCAGTTACATAAGGGAAACATGGGTGAATTGTTAATTCTATCCCAGAAAAAAAAAAATGGTACACATCATGGAAATAAAGAGTGAGTTGCAACAGTGGTTTTATTTTTTATTTATAAATATAACAATCCCTAGAGGGCTCAAATTGATTTAAAATCATGTGCATGTGTAATAAAAATTGAATTTTTTCCCAAGAATTTGGCATCCACCAAAAAAAAGAAAAAAAAAAATTCAGTACTTTAAAGAATAAGCAAAGGGTAAAGGAAATAGGAAAGTTCAATCAAATGTTCTAAACCTTTTCCCAAACTCTCAAATACCAAGGTATTTGAATTAGTTCCTGTCATTTGACTGGTGAGTGAATTGGAATTGTTTTGAAATCAATTGTTGTCATCAGATTCATTAATTTTCCAAGAATTGGTCAATAGTTTACTTTCTTTTTTTTTTTTGAAACACATTAATAAAGTTGACTAAAAGAAGTTGGATTGAAATCATGTTGATTGAAATAAGTATTATTGTTTTCCTTGAAATTGTGTGGGAGTAAGTCATCCAGAAAAATGCACTCAGTTACTCTTTTCCCAGTTGAAATAAACTGAAATTTTAAACTTTTCCCTATAGCAATATCATAATCTCTAATGAGTATATTTGTTTTGCCTTTATTCATTGAACTTTCTCTTTTGACTTCATCAGCTTCTAGAGATGGTACATTTATTTTAAAATCAAAATAAACACTGAAATATGAAAAGGAATACAAAATTCAGTTCTGTTTAAAATTCCAGCATAGTTGTGTTTCATTTTAGAAGATATAATGCCCTATATTATTGCTTTTTTAGAGTATTAAAAACCCACAAAGCTAATTTTTTGGTTGGTCTTTACTTTGAAAGACCAACAACCCCAGTCAATGATTCAAATAATCTTAAAAGATAGTTTGATTGCTCTGATATTTGGGAAATATTAAGTTGTTATTACATATTAGGTTTTGTTGTTTGATTCTTTTAAATAAACAAGTGAGACAACTAGATCCATTTCCAATGGAGACTGTTTTTGTGTGTATGGCAATTAGACAATGGATTACTAGTGAGTTTCTGTGAGATTCATCCAAATGGCATTGCTATAGTTTTATGAAGACAAAAAGATGACATATGATATCAATGATGTTAAACTTAAAATTAAGAAGAATGATATATAAGTCTACTTTTAAATTTCTAAATAAGGTGTATGTTTACTTTTGGTTTTAGTTATGTCTCTGATAGAAAAACAAAGGGTTATAGGCATGAATCTTCAATTCACCACTCATTTTTACTAAATATTTCCAAGACATGTAAAGGGACATTCTGACAAATTCATGTGGCTTATACTAATATGGTTTTGTCCTACAATCCCATGGAACTGGTGAACTGTACAATACATGAATCCCAGGCCTCTTTTTGTTCCTCCAGCTTATGGTTGGCATAAAAACATCCCTGATTTTTTTCCCCTGTGTTCACAAGCTCATATTAACCTAAATATGATAGAATTAGACTCAGAAATATCAACCCTCAGAAAATCACCCCAGAAACACAGAAATATTTCTTCATTTCAGCTAGAGCAGCTGGTCCAAACTATCTCCTGCTAGAATATTTTAACTTGGTCCACCCTGCTCTTGCTAGGACTCATACCTACCAATATTATCATCATCTTTCACAGTCATCTTTGAAAGCCTTCTCTCAACTTTAAATTTAATCCCTGCATTCTCAAAACCATCACATCTGTAGCTGTCAAGCAAGCATATGCCTATGTGAAAAAGATGAATGAAGATGGACAGTAACTAAAATATTAAATCTCCTGGACCCCCAAAAAGATAAGGAAGTCAAAAGAAACTGTTTTAGAACTGGAGGACAGGTGAAAGTTCTCTTTCAAACTCTTCCAAGTGTGAGTGGTAGAGGAATAAAACAGAAATCACTGGACATTTGGAATGGAATCCAGGAAGAGAAATATGAATTTTTGAATGGCTAAAGCATGCTAATGCACCTTCATTCAGAGGCATAGAATGCTGATAATTCTAGTTATTTCATAAAGGAACATCTCAAAAACCTGCCCAAGAGAGAGGTACTTACTGAATGGTTGCTTTAGTAACACTTGTTCCATCCACTTCTTTCAATGTTCTAAGTTCTTACTTTCACCAGAGAAGTATCCACACTTGAAGAATCTCCTTTACTGACTGCTTTTATATTATCTTTATCAAAAGACTCTACAAGGAGTTAGTCCATTTTCTTTAGCAAAAGACATGGCTCACCACATCATCAGAGCTCTCTGTATAAGAAAACTGACTTTAGATGATAGTCAGAACCAGCAGCCTTATATTACTGGACACATTGCTTTTTCATTCTGACCATCGGGAAGGCTATGGCTGAGTCAAACCTTCTTTTATCTAGGACTAAGATGATAACTAATAAATAGGTACAGAATGTGAGTTACTTTGAAGACTTTTCCAAAAGAAGTTTCAATGAAGTTGGAGGAGTGGGAGAGGAGAACCCCTGAAAGAACAAATGCAGAATAGACTTTAAGAGGTTTCATCCTAAGAAAAAGATTAGGGAATAAAAGACAGAAGGCAGAGGGCAGGACTGGTAGTAACCTAGAACAGACATTCACATTTGTGGAAGTAGTGGAGGGATGCAAGACAGGAGTTTTGAGATTTGGAGGAGAGTACACAAGTAATGTCTTTCTCCACTTACATTTGGAATTGATTGTGGTACAGACATAGGAATCACAGAGATGGAGATCAAAATGCAGTATTACCTTTTTGAACTTTAATAGTTGATGCTTAATGGAGAGCATAGGTCTAGATCTGGGATGGTAGGCTAGCCTGTGCAGCTTTCAGCCACATGCCTTACCATCAAGGATAAGCCCCATATGGTAGAGCAGAGAGCAGATCAGACCTTACATTACTTGAACAGGCTGGACGGACCCCTGACAGAGAAGGCTGAGTCTAGCACCCCAGTTGGTTTTCCCAATTCACTAGTCGAATGTCACACTGTCCTTTTCAAAAAATGAGGAGACAAGGGATGTGGAAAGAGGTCACATGGAAGCAGGAAGAACGATGACTAAGTGACCCCTTTACAAGAAAGAGTGAAGGAGAGAAAAAGAATAAGATGAGGTAAACAGGCTAATTAATTTTGTGTATAATTCTAAAATAGGTTACTCTTAGAGATGAAATTATAACATTTCTTAGCTGTTTTTTCTCACTTCTTAGAAAACTTTTTCACTTTTTTTCTGGGCTCATCATGTCCATTGAATAATAAATGATTGCCTTTAATTGTTAGATATTGTAAATTAATATAATGAGCAAAACTGATTAATTAATGCCTTGTATCATGTAGGTAGAAAGGCTGAAATCATCATGTAGAGTTGATGTTTCTATTAACTAGGATTGGTGAATGGTCTTTGATAGAAGCAATAGTTTGGCAATAGACCAAATGTGAAAATTTAGAAGCAGATGACCAAGATGTCAAAAGGGACAAAAACATGCTTAGGTGAATATTATTTTGAATAACTGAGGTATGTATAATTTCTCATAAATTTGCAACTGCATTGCAATGTCAGAAAGACACTGTATCTCTGGTTAAGTGTAGTAAAAGCATAAACATGGAGTTCTGATCACACTCCAAGCATTATCTGTTACTTGTTTATGGAATCTTGCATAGTGTATACTCATAAAACCAGCGAAAACAAAGCTGTGTAGAAATACAATCTGTGTCTTTCTGCATGATCATGAGGCTGATCTTTTTTTAATACTTGAAGATGGATGACTTTTCATCGCATGACAAATAATCAAGAATTAGAAACAGAAACTCTTCCAGATAGTTCAAAAACAGATTTTCTTTTTTTAAAATTTTTTATTTGACTTGTATATTGAATGAATGAACAAATGGCACGTGCTTGGAAGGAAGTGGAGTTCCTGGTTTCAGACCAGGAATGCAAGACAAGTTGCTATTTTTGAAATTATTAATTTCCGAGATTGTTCTACTTGTGCTTTCTAGAACTGCAATCCATGCTTAAAATGACACATTAATCTCATATATAAAGTAAAATAGACTTAAGTAATTGACAATGTGGCCAGTTCGGTATGATAAATGGACCAGTTAAAGATAACACTAATCTAATTAGAGAAAAAAAAATGAATGCATTGATGTAGTTAGTACAAGCACAGTATTTAAACAGTATTTAATTTATGTACATAGTTTAATCTTTCAAGAGTTTAAAAAAGGATTGATCAGGTGCCAGAATTTTGGCCTCCCTCTCTTATTTAATTCAATTATAATTTGACTTATACAAACAGATTTTAATACAATTAAAATTTTCTTCATAAACATCTCATTAAAACACTAAGTTAATAATAAAAAAATCAAAGTATCCTCATTTCCTTTTAGGCACACAGCCTGATTTTCATTAGTACCACTGTCTGATTTCCCTTAAAAACCCAAACTTACATGTTTTTCAGCAGAGATAAACACAAAAGTTATAGTCCTACATTTAAGTCAGGATTATTTTTCATACAGCTATACTTCCCTGTAGACTCACACTATGTCAACATAACATAGTGTGTCTTTTCAACTATCATTACAATTGAACATTTTTGTAATGGTTGAGAAACTGTGTTTTAGGGGCAGCTAAATCTGCATGTTCTCTCCTGTACTCTACCACCAACCAGTCATGTGACCTTTGTCAAGTAACACCTATGAAATAGGGATGCTTATACACCTGTACCCTGTGTTTTTTGGAAGAATTAAAGACATGGTTCTTCAAGTGACCAGGACTTCACCTGGCATATTTATGGGTCAATTAATTGAAAAGATTTTTCCTTTATCATTACAGCATTCTGAGAAAATCAGCTATTCTCATGTTATGAGCCACCTCCAATTACAGCTTTGTCTAACACTAATATGTGTCCCACCACCTAAATACTCTAGTTTAGTAATACAAGCCAGAAAGCTCACATCCCAAACTCAGTTACCTGACATTTAGTGATATAACCAGTTCTAGAAAGCTTTCTCTTGTCCTTCATGATGAAAGATTAAATCTGAGGACATTCATATGCTAAAAAACAAAGCCTTGAAATTGGTCTGAAGAAGATCATGCCAAGGTGAGTATATCAGTTAAGGTTCTCCAGAGAAACAAAATCAATCGGATATATGTTTGTGTATGTATATACACAAAATATATGTTTTATATATATTATATAAATATGGACACACACACACTTAAAGACAGTCAGAGCCAGAAAGACAGAGAGAGACAGAAACAGAAAGAGAAACAAAGAGGTTGCTAAAGATTGATTTATTTTAAGCAATTGGCTTGTGTGACTATGCCTGGCAAATCTGAAATCTGTAGAGCAGGCCAGAAGGCTGGAAGTTCAGGTAAGAGTTGATATTGCAATCTTGAGTCCAAATCCCACAAGGGCAGCAGGCTAGAAACACAAGGAGGATTTCTATGTTGCAGTCTTAAGGAAAATTCCCTTTTTTAGAAAAGCTGTTTTCACTCTTTAAGGTCTTCAACTAATTGTAGGAGACCCACCCACATTATGGAGGATTAACTGCTTTACTTGAAGTCTACTGATTCAAATGTTAATCAGATCTAAAAAAATATCTTCACAGCAACATCTAGACTGATGCTTGACCAAACAACTGGGCACCATATTCTAACCAAGTTGACACATAAAATTACCACCACAATGGAATTCCGAGAAACTGTGTGAAGCACTCAATAAATGCTATATAATAAAGATTAGAAATGTATAAATCTGATATTATGCTTTCATTTATTTAGCAAATAGGGAAAATCCATATATCAGCACAAACACACTACAGTGGTTTTGTTCCTCTAATAAAAAAAAACCTTTTATTATAACTCTATTTTAAAACAGTTTGTGTAACTAGGGAATTAAAGAAATTGTTCTAAACTAATACTTGAAATGCTTGTTATTCAGAAAATTTAAAACTTTTCCCTAAGACTTAGAAGAAACTTAGGCAGCTCCTTTTTAGTTATTTAAACACAAATCAGAAATATTGTATTTAACTCAGGGAACAGAGAAAAACCTAAAAAGAGAAACCTAACTCACCATTAATACATCTTCACTTTAATATGGTAACAGGTTTTAAAAGAAAAAAAGTTTAAAGCTAATTTTAAATGTGTTTTTATAACTTTCAAAAGATATATTCATTCCCAATGCTGCAGCAGCACTACTGATGAGATTGCAACTGACCAGACATAGCCCTGCTGTAACTGCAAATTGAGCATGCATTTTTATAGCCATTAAGAGGTTTAGGAGATAAGGAAATGATTATATGAATAATTGAACTTTTAGAAGATTAGCTATTTTGAATTGAAAAATGTTAATGATATTTTTTTAAAAATCAACTAAGTATTGATTAAAATTTTGTACATTCACACTACACAGCCCTAACATATTTTAAAATACAAATCAAAACAGCCCATCTGAATAACAAACTTCATGGATTCTAATAAATAGATGGATATCTCCCCAACATCTTCTTTCCTAACCGACCTAAAATCCTACAATCTTTATTGTTTGATAAGACATTTTTCTATACCATATTGACTAATAGTTGAGCTTGCAAATAGAGTGATATTAAAATTTTATCCATCAAGGCATAAATCATCCTATATGCAAAATCACCTAATAATCAATATAGTTTAGTAAATGACAGGTTCTTTGCACCAGCTAGATTCAGGTTCAAATTCACGTTTTGCCACATATTAGCTATGTGATCCTGGACAACCTTAACTTTCTCATCTCTTAAGTTTATTGCTGGCTATAGTGATATTTATTCTATATGTGATATTAATACTTACTCTGGTTTAAATTGGATGTTGAAAAAATACTCAAAGCCAATACTCACCAAAGAATATTTATCATTAAGGACAGTCTAGTGCATGCACTTTAAATTTTCTCTAATCTACCATTTTTGGGGAGCTTTAAAATAAAATACATCAATTTTAAATGAATGGTTCAAAGTTTTGACTAATGTGTAAAGTCAGGAAGCCTACACTGCAACATGATACAGAACATCCCCATTACCCCAATAAGTTGCCACATTGCTCTTTGCAATCAAACCCCTGCCCCATGCCCTGATACCTGGAAAGCACTGATCTGTCTTTTACAGTGATAGCTTTTCCTTTTTTAGAGTTGCATATAAATGGAATATCTAGTATGTAGTCTTCTGTGGCTGCTTTCTCTAACTTAGCATGTGCTTTTGAGATTCATTCACGTTGCTCAATACATTAATATTTTGTTCCTTTATGTGGCATACATGCAAAAATTGTACTGGGCCAGTTGGATAATCCCTGTATTTTTTAAATGTCCATTTATATGGCTAGACAATGATTTGCAAATATGACATACACAAAAAATTTTGTAAAAGATTGATTAATTGGTCCTAATTACAAATCACAGTAATCGGTCTTAGTTACAATTAAGAAATTCTTTCATTAAAAATCACCATTTAAAAAGTAAAAAGAGAAGCTACAGACTGGTAGAAGGTATTTGCAGCATATAAATTCAAGAAAGAAATAGTATCTAGAATACATAGAGAAGTCTTATAAATAAATAAGAAAAAGACTCAAAAAAATCCAGTTTACAAAAGGGAAAATTTGAACAAACACTGCAGAAAATGAAATATCATATGGCCAGAAAGCATGTGAAAGGTAATCAAAATAGTCATCAGAAAAATGCAAAATAAAGCCACAATGAGATATTAAGTTACACCTACCAGAAGGGCTAAAATAAAATTGTCAATATCAAGTATTAACAAGGATATGAAACAACTATAACTCTTACATTACTAATGACAAGGTAAATTAATACAATTACTTTGGAAAAATAGTATTATTTCATATGTCTTGGCTATTTCACTTTTGAATATGTTTCTAGCTAAAATGGGTGCTTAATATTCACTAAAACACGTTTACAAGGATGTTCATAACATAGTTGATTCATCATAGACAAGACTAGAAACAACCCAAATGTCCATGAATAGCATGAAATAGATTCAGTAAATATATTACAGTATATGTTGATAGTGTAGAATGAAACATTAAGCAGAAAATTAGAAACAAATGAACTATTGCTGTATATAACAGCATGTACTAATTCTTGCAGACATAATATTAAATCAGAAGACACAAAAGAATACATATATAATTCCATGCATAGGAAACAAAAAAACAGGCAAAACTAATCTATGGGATAGAAATTAGTGGTGGCTATTCTAGAGAGGAGTACTGAGTGGGAACATGTGGGAGCCTCATAAGGCACTTAAAATGGTCTATTCCTTGCTCTGGGTGGTGACTACATGGATGTACACATATATAAAAATTGATCACACAGTTTATCAAATATTTGTGTCTGTAAATGCACTTAAGATATCTTAATTAAAAAAACTCTTGGGAGATATTATAGTAGAACATATTATCTGGGAAGGCATTCTGAGACAGGATGCAATCATTTTGATTGGATGTAAGTTCAACTCCATAGTTTGAATTCACTAGTATCTTCAGTTAAAGTCAACAGGCAGCAAATTTATCTCTTATGGCTATATTTGACTGTATAGCAGCTTTTAAGATAGCTCCACTTAAATATGAAATTGTGAGAAGGTTTACTTTACTTACACTTCATAAGAAATGTAGAGGAAAGTTCACATTAACAATTTATTGTAGTTAAGAATAAAATTATAAACATGTTTTTGATGAATTAATAGTTCTATAAATACCCACTGACTCACCAACAGATGTAAGCCTATAGTTATGTTTGATATAACTATGAAATAACTGAATTCAGGTTTATTTTAGAATTTAATATAACAACAATGCAAAAATGGAAATTAAATAAAATGTTGGATATATATATTTTATTAAATATATTCTCATTCCAGATACTATATGAAATGAAAAATAAATTAGAAATTAGGAGGTAAACCTTTATTTAGTATGCATTTATTTATAAAACATATATAAAACACCTATTTTTTATTAAGGACTCTCATTAAAGACTTAGTAAGGACCAAGGCATACATGAGGTGCTGGTATACACCAAGACAAAGACTAAACCCTCAAGGATTCATAATGTGAAGGCAGACACATAAATAAATCATTATAATACAATGTTGAAATTGAGTCAGAGACATGTGCTCATGGAGAACCCTTTGCCAAAGTCTGTAAAACCCAGTTCTAGCCCAAGGAACTTAAAAATGTAACCACAGAGTGAAATCCATATCAACTTTAAAAACAAAACTCAAAGGTAATTTCTATAAAATTTATAATTCATGGTAGCTAACATTTATATGTCCTGTATTTTAAATTTGGTATAATCACTTCATGAATTCCCTATATTTTTCTTTGAGTGTGTGTGTGTGTGTATGTGCATACATAATGCAAAACAATCTAAATGAAAGGCACAAAATATATTATATTTTGGATACCTTTTCTATTCTCAAGGTTGCAAAACAAATGCCTGGTGATGATTTCAAGCTTAAAGGGCCTCTTTCCTGGATGCCATTGGGCATGATGAGTGACCCACACTTCAGGACTTTATAGCCTCTGATACACTTACGCCCAGACACAAACCAGATACTTCACCGTCTGCTTTGCTTCTCGCTGATCGCTCACTTTTTAGGTTAGATAACATCCACAGAAACTATAAACAGATCATATATTATGTGATAATTATTCTTCTTCTTCCTTAAAGATAACAGAAAAAGAAATCCATTTTCTTCTTTCACTTACTCCAGAAGGTTTAAAATTCAAAGGGTGAGCAAGATCTGTTCCACTAAGAGAAAGTCAGAACATAAATTTTGAACATTCCCTTGAGAAATCAGGGATATGTTCACATACAATAATTTTTCTGAAATTGTCTTTGTAACATAATATCACACAAGTCTAAGGTCAAGGAATAGAAATAATATATTTTTAAAAAATGTATTAAACTATCCCACAGATGCATTGTGAAAAAAAGTCAGAATATATTGCACCTTAGAACTGCTTTGTCTCTGTCATAATATCAGTTCCTCTGATTATAATGTGATATTTTTATCTTAAAATGTGATTCTTATGGTAAAAATGTAAAGAAACACTTACTGATGAGCCCTCCATTTGCCAAGAATAATATTTTAAGAAAGATATCCTGAGCCCTATAACTCTGAAAGCAAAAATTTGAGGTTTTACAGTCTATTTGCGAAAGATTTTGAGATATCTGGAGTGATTTGTATTTTCTGCTACTTCCCCTACTCATTCTCTGTAACTTCAAAGGTGTCTCGAACCATGATCGTTATTCACACAATGAAGGGCATTATTTATAGGTCTATATTGTTCTTTAAAAAAAAAAAGTCTTCAATATTTACTTCCCTATAATCATACAGCTAGCTCATCATTCCCCATCCAGTAATGAAAACCAGAAAACAAAGAGTTTTCTTGTTTAATACATGAGAGAACTAATACACAGTATGAGGTTCCTGAGAAAGTGGAAGGGGATAGGATCTCAAGCACAGGATATAATTGGCCTTACATAGGAGGTATGGGAAATCTTTTTATTATAATAATTGAGTCATCTTTGATATCAGAAAAATGAGAAATTTTCTACCTCATGGCTTTTATTTTCATTGTAAATTATAACATGAAGAGAAAAAGTTGGTTGAAATTTTGATGAGAGACCAGAGAAACTCGACAGAATGACGGCAATTTCTATGGGGCCCTCAAGCACGGTAATGATTAATATATAATACAATCAATTTGTAGTTGCAACTTTCTTTAACAAAGCTCGGTTCTTTAGGTAAATGGATGAGGGAGGAGAGACGGGGAAGCTATAGGTTCCCAAACCTATATCCATGATTCCAAAATCCAAATGTCTTGAAAACCATTTCTTCTTTCAGATTCTTTGAGCTACAAACCAATGATCTGCTGTGAACTCATTTATTAGCCTACATTTATTTGAATTAAAGATGATACAATATGCTACATAAATTTATTGTGTGATATTATGGGGCACTGTCTCAGACTTTGTTAGAAATATTACAAACTTTTTCAAAAGAATTGGAATACTAAATCATGGTTAATCAGGGTTTATAGATTCAGCATAAGCATCCATTCAGCTTTGAAACTTTTCCGTAAGTTTTTGACAACCAAACCTCAAAAATGATGCTATATGTGTGCTGAGAATTTTAAAAAGTAAATTATTAAGTTATACATATAAGTTCTATCTACTATTAATTTTATGAGAGAAAAAAATCAATTTTCTGACATATCCCACAATGCAATGTGACTAAAACTTTTTGTGGGGAAAGTTTTTCAAGTGCCAGTTTGGTTCAAAAAAATTAAATGATTTGTGGTGGTTCTGAAATTCTTTTTTTGTACTCTTTTTGAGAATGGATTCATACAATGTTGGTATATTGTCTTCCATCACTTAATTATTTATCTCATGTTCTGATTACCATTCCTGTATGAAATATTTTAGTGGCTTAAAATAGTAACACCTATTTTATTGTTTCTCAAGGATTTTGTGGGTCAGGAGAAAGGCCTCAGCTGGGTGCTTCCAACTTGGTGTCTCTCATGATGGTAGACAGATGGTAGCTGGGCCCAGAACAATGAAGTCTATAAACCTCTTTCTCTCTATGTAGTCTCAGGCCTTCTCCATCTGGTCTGTCTACATGGGCTATTTGGGCTTCCTCACAGCATGGTGGCTTAAGGCTCTGCATAAGTGTTCCAACCAGCAAAGTAAAAATAATCTTTTCTGAACTAGCCACAGAAGTCACACACCATCACTTCCACCACATTCTGTTTGTTATAAGCAATTCATAAACCTGACTAGTTACAAGACAAAGGGAATATTAATAATAATAAAGGAAATAATAACACTCAGTGAGAATACTTTGCCACACCTTAATTTCTATTAAACCACCTTGTCTTATATCTATAGGAGTTCTAATATCCTTCATGTAGCTAAACCCAAAGATCACCATTGAGAGCCCTGTTCCTTTGTAATTCGCCAGCCTTTGATAACAGTTGTCAACTTCCTCCTTTTTGAAATATTTTCTTCCCTTGACTTCCTTGACACCACATTTCCCCTCTTTATCTGTTCTTATCTTCTTTCTTCATCAACTAATCCTCCCTTAGAGGCTTTTACATGTTAAAGTTTCTCAGGAACTCAGCCCTCTTTCTCTTCTCACCCTAAAATCTCATCCTAGGCAATTGTATGCACTTCCTGCGGCTGTTGTACTGAATTAGAACAAACTTGGTAGCCTAAAATAAGAAATGCATTCTCTCTCACAGTTCTGGAGGTCAGAAGCCAGAAATCAAGGTGGCAGCAGGGCCATATTCTCCCCAGAGGATCCAAGGGAGATTCTGTTCCTTGTCATTTCTAGCCTCTGGTGGTCCCAGACATTCCTTGGCTTATGCCTACATCCCTGCAATCTCTGCTTCCATCTTCACATGGCCCTCTCTTCTGTGTCTGTGACTCTTATAAGAAACACACTTATCACATTTAGGGCCCACCTGGATAATCCAGGGTTATCCATTCATTTAAACCTCCTTAATTGTATCTTCAAAGATCCATTTTCCAAATGAGATAATATTTACACATTCTAAGAGTTAGGATATGGACCTATTTGGTAGGGGTTGGGGAAGTGGGTAGAGAATAAACACCATTCAGTCCACTTAAGCATTCTTAACCTACTCTGTGGACTTAATTGTCATCTATTTAGAAATTCATATCTCTAGCTTTCTGGATATCTCTTCTGAGTTTTACATCTATATTTTAAAAAATATAATTGCCTGATACATATCTCTTTTGGATATAAGAGGGATCCCTACGACTCAGCTTGTTCAAAACAGATCTCCCTATAGTTGCCCCTAAATCTACTCCTCAGTATTTCTTATCTCAAAATTGGCATCACAATTCACCTAATTGTGCATGTGCTTATGGATTTTAATTGTTTCATCTACAGTCTACATTATAAAAAGATATCCTACTTCTTACACTTCTTAAATATCTCACCAACTCCCCACCTCCAACTATTTCCAGAACATGAAGTTACTGCTCTACCAGAACATGAAGTCGTCCACTAGGAGTGAAGGAGAACATTGCAACTTCAGGGAGGAAGTGTGCATCATCAGAAACTTGAATGTCATCATCACCGCCCACTCTCTGACAGGTAAGTCCTACCTTGACTTCAAAGATTTCTCAAGTCTTTCCACTTCTATCAGTTTCCACCACTGGTGTTCTAGCACAGTCACCATTATCCTTCACCTGCACAGCTGTAGTACCCCTTTGTGATCTCCTAGAATTCACAACCATGCCCCTCCAAGCTGTTCTCCACCTTGCAAACACAGGAAGCTTACAAAACAAAACTGCTCCTGTCACACCATTGCCTAAAATCTTCTATGGTTTTTCAATGATCTCATGATAAAGTCCAAAATCTGTTTAACATAGACTTTAGGGAAGTAGCCACTGTCTACCACTCCAGGTGCATCTCCCAACAGCTCCTCTGCTTGCCCTCAACCATGACTGCCTTCTTTCATGTGGATCTCTGCACAAAATGTTTTTTTTGCCTGGGATAGCCTTCCTATACTTCTTCAGTAACTTCTTCAGTTACTTCTTCCTGTACTTCTTCAGTTAAGTGAACTCCTACTTATCTGGAAGTTTTATCCACAATGCTACTTAATTTAATCATGATGCCACTTCTTCAGGACAGCATTCCCTAAATTATAGACCTAAATATATCTCTCCATTTTAGATTGTGATTGCATTCCATACTTTCTTATATCAAAAATGCAATGGTGATAATTATCACTATATTCCATCAAATCTAGATCTACTGATTTTAAGATACATTATTTAGCAAAAATACTATCCATCAACCTGGGACATTCACGTTCTTAAGAGCTAGAATTTTTGTTTCATACTGCAAAGAGAGCTGTTTAGCCTCATCCACACTTCTATTTTATCCATTTCTTTTGCACACATTAAAAACAAAGACCAAAGACATTGATTAAAGTATTTATAAAATTACTTCATAATCCCTCAGAGCCCAAATAATCTGAAGTACTTTTCAAGTCAGCGTGGTTGATGTTTGTGCTTGCCCACATAATAATATATGCTGCGTCAACAGGAATGTTGATGGTGTAGTATTTTTTTACAAAAAGTGTTCTACTTTTGTCTCTGGGAAGCTGCTGTCATCCATTTTGGAATTTTTTATGCTTTTGATACATTCAGACCATTGCATTGGACAATTATTGTTCATTGAATAAGTGAAATTCTGAAATACTATGATTCAAAATGATGATATTTCTATAAGAAGAAAACAATAAAGAAAATATTTGTGCTGTGTTAGATGAAATATAAGTAGTATAGTGGGTTGAATAGTGCCTCTTGCCAAAGTGTGTCTATCTGGAATCTCAGAATGTGACTTTTGTTAGAAAAAGGGTCTTCACAGATATTATTATTTTAGGGTCTCAAGATGAAATCATCCTGGACTTACAATGGGCCCCAAATCCAAAACTGGTGTCCTTATTAAATGAAAACACAGAAACACGAAAAAGAAAGAAAGAAAGAAAGTCTGTGTGATGATGGAGAGGCAGAGATTAGAGTTATTCTGCCACAAGCAAAGGAACATCAGAAGCCTCCAGAAATTGAAAGAGACAAGGAAGGATTATTCCCTGGAGCCTTTAGAAGAAGCATGGCCCTGCTAATTACATAACTTCAGACTTCTGTGTCCAGAAATGTGATAGAATAAATTTCTGATTTTTTAAACCACCAAGTTTATAGTAATTTTTAACAGCAGCCATAAGAAATTAATACAGGTATTTTATTTTATTCCTGATTTAATCCTCCAAACCACCCTAAGGGGTAAATGCTATTATCTCTATTTTTTTAAATATGAAAGCAAACTTAGAAGTTAAATAAATTGCTGACAGCCACACAGCTAAGTGACAGAACTGAGATTAGAGTCCATGTTTATTTGATTCTCTCTCTCTCTCTGTCTCTCTCTCTCTCTATATATATATATGTATTTTAAAAATATTGTACACTATTTAAGAAAAATGATCTGTATAATATAACATAGAAAGTTTCCCTTTTAAAAATCACTACAATAAATAAATAAAATTAAGAGACTAAAATGTTAAAGGTATGTTATATAGAAAATGTTTTTCTGTGGAATATTTGAGTCTGAGAATGCAAAATAAATAAAGTATGAATTGCACATTCATAAAATAATTCTGTGGAGCTCAGTTCCCTCTATATGCCAAGTTACATGTTAAGAGCTTATTTTAATCTGAGAGCAAGGCACTATTTATGCCCCTATTTTATACATGACAAGAATGATAATTAGAAGGTGTAGTGCACAGAATAATGTCCTTCCAATGATATCCATGTTCTAACCACCAGAACTGGTGTGAATATGTTACCTTACATGGCAAAGTGGAGTGTGTAGTGGTGATTTAAGTTAAGGGTCTTGAGATGGGAAAATTATCCTGGATTGTCCAGGTATGCCAATGTAATCACATAAATGCTTCTAAGGGAAAGGAAGGAAGAAGATGTGATGACAGAAGCTGAGATCAGAAAGAGAGAGAGAGACAGAGAGAGAGAGAGAGTTGCTGTACTGCTGGCCTTGAAGGTGGAGGATGGTCATAGAGCTTCTAGAAGCTGGAAAAGGCAAGAGAACAGATTCTTCCATGGAGCCTCCAGAAGAAATACAGTCCTGCCAATACCTGGATTTTAGAACTTCTGACCTCCCAAACCTAGATATGTGGGCTATTACTAAATTATTCTCGCATCATAAATGCATAGAAAGTCAGTGACACTTCAGTGTGCAACATTCAAGAATTGTACTTGATCATCAGCCTCTAAAATCAATCAGCATTTGACTTAAACATTTCGTGTTTTGAATATAGAGAAGGGGTACATTTATTTAACTTTTTTAAAAAAGATATAATGCCACAAGTGGCAAAGTTTCTTAGCAAATTCCTTTGGCTTGTATTGTCTTAAAATTAAACCATTTAAAACTTAATGGAAACCGGTCCAGTTTAACAACAACAAAAGCTTCCTTCTTGTTGTATTGTCAATGGAAGACATCCCATTAAGAGTTATTTCTAACTCAAGTTTCTTTTCCTCATTCCACGAAGCTTTCATATCCTTTCACCTCTATTGTTTTCTTCAAAGCAGGATATTTCCTTAACAAAAGCAGAAACTATTTAAATATCAGACAGACTGACCCAGTAGCTGAGAAGATGCAAAATAGCTCCTGATCTGAGTTAGCTTTTGGACTTGAATTTTCATCATTGGCTAGAGAGGGAGTGTGTGCCCCCTAAGTGCCTCCTTATCTGTCTTTCTGTGGAAAGATAAACTCTGCTCTGGACCTAAAGATGAGATAACACAACTGGTTGTGCACAGTAGGCTAGAAGCTCTGGCGGGATTGCTGGATAATCCTTCAGTAAATTAGAACAGACTGTTCAGGCTTGTTTTGATGGGCAGGAAGCTTCATTAGGCAGAGTGGAACAACTTGAAGTTGGAATTGGCTAGGCATAATGCACTGTGACCTCTTGACTTTACATACAGGCAGTCTGGGAGACGGGGAAGAAATCTCTTGGCAAATTACCTGTAATAACTTATTTAAGGGTATGTCTAATTTTGGATGTGTTTTTGCTATATTTATTTACTTGGCAAGGCTTTGAATTCCATAAAGGCAGAAGTCAGCTAGTCTGCCAGCACATTTTGACTTGATGGATTGTCTGTCTACTGTACAATACTCTGAACATCAGCATTTTTTTTTTATGTGTGTGAGGTTGGGCAGAAGATAAAAAGATCCAGATTTAGTACTTATTGTTGCATTGTTGCAAGAAAAGTGGAGCCAGCCTCTAAAGATATAAATGGAAAAGGAATTAAGGTCCAAGGCACAGGGGTGAAGGGTTTTCTAAGCTGATGCTCTGTTGGTGCTGTGTTGCAGCTATTTATATGATGAAATAAATCACTTGGATAAGTCAAGGTGAAGTCAGAGTGCTTGAAACAATTGTTTGTACCTTATCAAAAAGATATTTTCCTTCTCCTCCTATCAGTCAACCTCCACATGAAAACCATTAAGATTGAAAAGAAATCTCACCCCTACAACAAGCTGCTTCTAGCTAAGTCTCAGGTTTTCCTGATAGTCTATAATTCTAGAAATATCAAATATAAAATAGTGATACTTGGATAACGGCATTTTGGCAAGGTGTAAATTCGTTTGGATCTTCCAAGTATTTTTTTTTTCTTTGTTCTGTACCTATTTTGACTATGCAGGAGATATTTATTGAAAATGCTATATTTTTTGTTAATATCTTTACAGTCCTTTTTTTTTTAACTCTACGTAGTTGTAATCAGCTTTGACTTCTGAGAGGCTTATACTATAAATACAGAAAAATAAACCTGGATTCCTATATAACATCACACAGATATATACACACACACGGACACTAGATCAATTAAAGATCTAAATGGGAAAGGTAACACAGCAAATTTTCTAAAAAGAATATAATAAATTATCTTTGTGGAAGGATCTTAGGATAATACCTTAAACAAAAATACCAAAACTATAAATATAAGGAAAAAATATATAATTTTTATTAAACCAAAAATACAGATTTCCAGTCAATGAATTACAGCATAGAAAAGTTAAGAGACAGATGGTAAAATGGCAGAAGATATTTAAGATTTTAAAAGAAAAATAAAGATTATACAAGTCTATAAATCAAGGAAACATATAAAGATGCCCCTGAAAAAACAAAAAAAGAAAAAAATCATAAAAAAGAAAAAAACCTGAAAAGCTAACAGCACATAAGGAGACATTCAAAACCACTAGATTATTAGTAATAAAACAAATGTAAATTAAAATAAGGTGACACTTTATATATTTTAAACAAGACCAGAAAGCTAGATAATGCCAGGTGTTCATGAGACTTCGAGGATGTAGGAGCCCTCATGTTCTGCTAGGGAACAGCACTATTTTATAGCGTAAACCTATCTCTCCCTAGAGAGGTTAACTCCACAATTCTCTTGCTGGATATATAACTTAAAAACATTCTCACACAGGTTCATAGTGGACATGTGTATGGTCTTCATTGCAGTCCTAGAATTTGGAAGCACCCAGGGAGTTCACCCTTGGGAGAATGTCTAGGTAAAATGTGAGAAATGGGCAGCACATAATGCTATGCTGTGGTTATGAGCAGCGGATTTATTGTGCTCAAAACACCATGCTGGAATCTTAAAAACATAGTTTTTAGTGAAAAAAAAGCATGAAAAATAATGCAAGTAGACATGAACACATTTACATAAATGAAAAGTACATGCACATCAAATATGCACATTTTGCAAACGCTTATGCAAAAAAAATGATACACATTAAACACATTACAAATGTAGTCTGTGAGAATTGGAACTGAGACTGAAAAAAGACAAGATTAAAGAGGCCAAGTGGATCAATGAATTAACTTTAAAAAATATACAGGGGGAGTAGAAAATGAGGAAAAATCATGAATTCTGGGAAGATGCATAGAAAATAATTATCTTTCGTTTTTGTTTGTCATTTTGGTTTTATGCTTCTAGATTATGGGCCCACAAGACTCCAGTGAAATTATTACATAAACCAGAAATTCTGCAGGAATTTGGTTTTTGAAACATAGGTATTCTCTTATCATTTAATTCTTATATGTGCCTTTCATTCATACATCCAATCTCAGGAATCAAGCACAGAAGTAAAAAGACAAGGAAGAGGAGTTATTGCTATTGTAGAGAAAACCCAAACTATATTAAATATCTAACACTTCACAAATACAGATACACACAAAGTATATTATAATAAATAGGCATATTCACATTTAACAATTATAACATTTTTACACATTTTCAAACATTGTTTAAGACTTAAAATTTCTCTTTAACCAGATATCGCCTTTCCTTTCTCTACATACACATCCCAGACACAAGTGCCTTGATTTTGCTCTGCATCCTCATAGTTCACTTTGTCTATTTATACCGACATAAATATTACACATGTCCAATATATATACTATTGTTTATTTTTCATCTTAAGGTTTATTAATTTATTTTATTTTCTTCTTCAAAAATTCAGAATATTATGGAGGTACAAATATTTCAGTTATATATATTGCCTTTGCATTGCCCAATCCAGAGCTACAAGAATGCCAATACCCGAGACAATGCGCTCTGCACCCATTAGTTATTAATTTATGGATTCCCTACACCTTCCTCCCACCTGCCCAACACCCAGTGAATATTACTTCCATGTGGGCACCTAAGTTTTGATCAGTTAGCATCAATTTGATGATGGGTACTTGTGGTGCTAATTTTTCCACAATAGGAATGTGAGTTATAGAAGTATATTCATTTGTCAAAATTGAATAGTTAAAACATATGCATGAAACCACAAAAAGATAATTATAAAATCGAGTGCAGGGTGGACAGTGGACAGAGGGATAAAGAAAACAAAAATGGCAAAATGCTGATCATTATGGCATCTGGAGGATGGATTCATATACTCTTCTGTTCACTGCATGCTGTACAGGGAAAGACTATATTCTTTGTCACGTTTGCTCACCAAAGTGTCCATTCTGTTAGCTTAGTGGTCAGCTGGTGATTTGACAGAGACATCCTTAAACACCTGGAGCCAAAGAGAAAGAAAGAAAGAGAGAGAGAGAGAGAGAGAGAAAGATGAAACTATTCTCCAAGTCTTTGGATATTGGCTCTGTATTGGGGCACTCCTTCAACATTTAGCCAGGTCCTTTGCAATTCTGCCCTAGCCTTCACTTTCTGCTTGCAGGGAACCTAAGGTCAGCCAGATGTGAAAGCTTAGGGTCTTCTCAGGTCTCCTCTGAGCATGTGTCCAGCCCTGGGCATATCATGGCCTTCTAATTCTCTGGTATGCACAGGAGCTTTTCC